AAAAAGTCTTCAACTTGAAGGTGAGGCAATGATGACAATTCTCATTTTTGCTTCCTTTTAAGTAAAGTATATTGCGTTTTGTATTTTGACTGAACCCCTTAAGAAAGAATCAATGGTTTCAGATGAGGATACAAGGGTCTATGTAAAAAACAATTCCTAATACTGGGAATTACATTAAACCCAAGATTACTGAGGTCACCCAACTTGAAAAACATTCTGTAGGAGATGAAAATGTATATATATTGATTATATGTATGGCTCTGTATGTGCTCAGAGTACAGGATATGCCCTGATATGTGTATGTGGAGGATATTTTCAGGCTGTGCGTATATGGGTCTCATGGCATGAGCGATGCTCCCATAGCTGTTCCAGACCACTGCTGTTACTGCAGTAACACATGATATGTAGAGTTGGCTCACACACTGCTTATGCAATACTAATGAATCAGCCCAGGGCATAATGGAGACTGTTGCACTATTGAGAAGATAATTACTCTTGTTGTCATTGTTGTTTTTGTTGTTACAGAACTTGATTTCTGTTGATGTGTTACTATGTGTTATGTACTGGGTGTGTCTACAAATATATGTGTACATTATACAGCATGAATAGATCTATTAACAACATTGACGTCTTTTTTTTTTGTATTGTATTGTATTGGGCGTACCATTCATTCTACCATTATATTTGTACATTGTGTACATTGACGTGTACAAATAAACTGAATATTGAAAACTGGGGCACCTAATTTGACATAAAAACTTATATTTCAATTTCACTTGGCAACTATTAATGTTTAAAAAAAAACAGTTAGAATTAGCCTGTTGTCCTTTCCTATTCTGTGACTAATGTCACTTTGTTGCAAGCCAAATTGAAACTGACTTCTATGTCAGAAGTGCTTTGGTCTATAATTTTTTTTAATAGCTTTTTGTGTGTGTGAGCTCCAAAGTGCTCCAAAATCTATTTCTTCACAAATACAAACATACCTTTTGGACAGCAACTAAATCAGGATGTCATGACCTAAAACTGGAATAGCGACTAAAAGTGAAATTTAGAGAAAATCAAACAGAGGCTGATCATGCATTTTATTTTATTATTTTATTTTATTGTTTATTCTCAAAGATTTCTCTCTTTATAGCTTAAATAGGAGTAAAACCAACCATAAACATAAACAATAGTGGCTGAATTCTGGGCAGATTAAAAAGATCTCAGTTGATCTGAGGCATTCAGACATCAAGAAACATTCTTTAAAGACCAACAGGCTTCACACTGCAGGAAATCCAAACAAAGCAGGAACAGGAATTCTGTTTTTCAGCCTGTCAGATTCCATTCTCTGTCACACAACATTCTACACAATCCCAAAAACCTGTGAAGTGGAAACTTAACTGTAAACCCAAGAAAATTAGACAAGATGTGAAACAAACTCAACTGATTATCTTGCAGTGAACTAGGCTATAACTATTCTTGTCCTCAGATAACACATTCACTGACCATCCACAGTCAGTTCACTGACGCTGATGCATATTACACACGAACTGGAAAGTACTTGCTTGATCTGGCAAGCTCTGATCTGACTGGCCGACTCTGTGTCAACTTCTGAAATAAGGGCATATCTGTTTTATTTTTATTATTATTATTATTATTATTATTATTATTATTAGGCTGCCTGGACATAAAGCTGTGGAATGGATTTATGTAATGAGCTCTACAACACTGCCATAGACAAGTAAAGGAAGTGCAACACAAAAATATTATTTTACTAGGCTATAACACATCAATTAGATCGTAACATTTGCCTATCCTCAACCTAAGTTCCAATCTTCACCACATTGTTAACCAGCAAAAGTCAGAACATCTTGTAAACGACAAAAAGTTTAACTTGTGTCTTAAAAACACGCAGCAAGACAACGGTTCAAAAACCATTTTTTGTTGTTGTTTTTTTTTGTAAACCGGCTTTAACATGTCTCGGTTTTCTAATTTTTCTCATTCTAATAATTTTTTAAATAACTCGCGAGTATTATGTAAAGTATAATCGTGTTGTCTCAATTCAAATTAACTAAACTTGTGTTTGAAACATCGGTCGCTCCCATTGTAGTTGCAACAAACATTCACAAAACTATGCTCGATTAACTCATTTTAACTAAGTAAATGCAACAAGCTGGGGAAAAAATCTCTGTTTTTCACTGTTCGTGCCACTGTTTTGATTTCCAATTACATTCAGAGTTTTGTGAGTGTGTTTGCCTGTCTGTCCTGCTCTCCATTATCTTTACCCTGCTGAACTACAGCCAGACCTTTCACTTTGGCATCTGTTAAGAGAGACAAAGAGAAGAGCCAAAAACCTCCCTCCTCCCACACATCAAATAAAAAATAAAAAAAATATTTAAAAAAATATATATATAGATTAAAAAAAAAATCAGCAGCTCAAAGTCAAGGACACCTTACTGGCACGACACTCACGAATCCACTCTCATTACTTTATAACTGCAAAAGATTACATATTGTCATTAGGAATTGTTTTTACCAATAGCAACCTTATAGCATATCAGTGTTCAGTTTTACAGTCATGAAAGGACAAAAAGGAGAGGGTAAATGAAATTCTTAACCCTAAAAATAGACATTGTTCTATATTTTAAGATTCGAGAATCATACATCCTTGAACTTTTATAGGGGAGGATGCTGAAGCCTTATTTAAGGTGTTTCAACTGTCCCTTTGTTCCAACTGTACAGTACATGGTCTAGACTACCCTACAGCGCTGTTTTGGAAACAAAACATTTCCTGCCCTTTACAGTGCCCTTTGTTTTGTGTCACCATTTCTTTATTATGCGTTGGCATGTGTACCAGTCAAACAGGTTAAAAGTCAGACTTCAAATTCCTGTCATAGAATTCATTCAGAACTTTGATACTTGAGATATATTTCAATGAACTTTGACGAGTGAAAGAGTTGTCATCATATGGCAAAACATGTAACTGCATTACTCATTACGTGATTTATGGGTTTGGAGGTTTACAGTCACTCTTCAAAAATGGAACTGAATTCTGTTCCTGTGATTTCATCTTTCTGACTGTAGAGCAACACCTGTTGAAGTGCAAGAGTATCAAAGGACTGGCAGTCTGAATCTCTGCAGAGAATCTTCTAGAAATGTGCTGGCATTATGTGTTACAATTGATTTTAGGTCATTACTTTTAGAAAACGCAGCTTGCCTGAATCTGCTTTATGGTCGAAAGCTGAATTGCATGCCATTGTAAATTTATGTGTGTATCTGGACAACAATGTTCTTCAATTCCCTTTCAGTTTGCAGTTTTATATTTTTGTAATCTATTATTAAACTCATCTTCACATTTATAATTATCACTGAATTAAGATTTGGAACATGATCATAACCCTGGCATCATTTGACATGGACTGAACTGACTGAAAAAAAAGAAAAGGACATATCGAGACAAAATAATCTTGCAACCCTTTATTCACATATGCAAAGCATGAATTAGTACATTACAAACTGTTGAATTCTATTCTTATAAGGAGAAGTGTAAATCATGTTTCTTTTTCTATTCCTCATTTTTTCTATTTATACATGTGTTTATAGAGAAAAAGCATCAGAGGCTTTATATTGATGTTAACAGATGGTTAAGTTAGGTTTAGACAGCTGATTTTAAAATACAAAGGAATTGTATTCAATTATTCGTTTTTTAACATTCAACATTATACTTTCACTTTTCCTGTTTACTGATGTTCCAAAAATCGAGATTCATAGAGACCAGTTATATAGGAACGTGTGTGTGTATATATACATATATATATATATATATATATATAACATTTTATATGATTTAAGATATGTGTGATGATGTGTGGTGTGAAAACAAGACATAAATTGATCACCAGTATAGTACAGTAAAAAAAGGGGCCAAGAGATCCACTTACATTATTTCAGTAAAGACACATAACACTTTCTTAAGAAATATACATCTTCCATTACAGAAAAATAATAGTAAAGTTACATTTACAAGTACTAAACATTTTTCACAGAACTGTTTCAGAAAGTGCCTTTGACATTACTGTTAGCAAAAAAAAAGCAAGACTGCCTTAATACAATTGTATCACTATACCTACATTTCAAACATATGAAAAAATAAACATTACCGTAATTTAAGGTTATACAAAGTAAAATGCAAAACTAAATGCATTAAGTAAATATTGTTCATTTGTAAAACAATTTTATAGCATTTAAAAAAAAAAAAAAAACGGAAAAGGAGAATAAACATTGATAAACATTAACAGCGAAATTGTAATTGGACCAACTGTTATACAAAAGGCTGTTATTTTAGGAACAGATTGATATAAAGTTTTATATTAATATCTAACCGTTATCAATTCAGTCTCAAATCATATACAGGCGGGTGATCTCATACTTATCAAATTCTTATAAAATAAACAAGCACCTCTAACAAGAGGTGAATGATATCACTATGGTCAAAACCATAAAGTTTTCCACTGTTAAGACAGATATTTCACACCATCTCTCTCCTAAGGAGCACGCAGATGGTGCAGTCCCACAGGTATTTCACTTCACATCATGCGGATCTACTAGAAAATCTAATTTGACATGATCTACTAGAAGTAGAAAAGAGGTAAATCATCCAGTAAAAAGAACATCGCCCGCCCCCCCCCCCCACAAAAAAGGTGGCATAAAATGGAAATGGAGAACTTGGAAACACAATACTGAATCATCAGAACCACAGTGGCAACACAGTTTGGTCTGCTGTACCAATTTCTGGTAACAGGTCCAGTTTTTGAACCCTACTCTTTCACTGCCATCTTCTATCACCGGTTATATAGATAACACTACAGCAGATGACTAGGTCATAAGAAACACCACAAGGTTTAAGGTAGTATGAAGAACTTTCTGCCACACCATTCTTTGACTTATGAATCAAACTGCAGCTGCATAAGATATTTTGCGCTCCTAAGCTCTGACCTACAATCTTTTTTTTTTCTTGGTTTTTTTTTGGCACATGACCTCGTTATTCTCCACTATTATTCTCCAACTGTCCAGAAGCTCAGGCTGGTGTGTTAAATGTGAGAAGCTTAAACTTGTAAACACTGAGAAGCAGCATATGTGGACACTCAATGCACAGAGCCTTTTTTAAATATATCAATTGCATTGATTTTGGTCCATGCAGCACGGTTGAATCACTACAGATGCAGAGCATCCTCTTTCAAGCACATTCGAAATTTCCTCCGCTCTTTTCTTGACACCATATGAGCGGTTGTTCCCTCTTCCTTCTGTCGGTTGGGAATTTATGCATGTTTCCTTTAAACCATGAGCTTCTTTTTCAGCTCAAAATATGCATCAAATCTGGCCATGGCATACTCCTATAAAGAATAAGAAAAAAGAATTAAAGAATTAACAATTAGCATTTTTAAAAGATATATATTAATAGATCAGTTCTACAAGGTATATGCACATTATTTGGACTATCTTGGGTGTCACTGTCCTTTTGTTTTATCTTGTATCTTGTCCTTGAACACGTTTTATTTTTCTAAGATTGTTATTTAAGACACTCACTGTAGATTATTCATCGTTTTCAATTTCAAACTTCATTAAAAAAAAATTTAATACACAAATTAATCATTTTATATCAGAAACATTACTGTGGCACACACTCAGTAGGTTTACAGTCATGTTACCCTGACCTCACAAGTATTTGTGTACTGTCCAAAGGGTTGTGAGGCAGCGCAGATATTGCAAAGGCCGTATCTTTACGTATCTGATTGCCGTTGATAAAATTCTTGTCTTACCTAAGAGCTGCACTGAGTACAATGGAATAACCCAGTAATAACTCAACATTAGCAATAACTCAACTGCACACACAAAGATTTGACAGTTTTCTTGCAATAACTCACCATGTACCCAAATTCAATAGTTGATATTTTGGCCTGGATTATGGACCACAATCCCCAGAAGAAATGGGAGGCCAGAGCAAACCTAAATGAGAGAGCACTGAGTTCACAAAGTACAGATGGAAAGAACGTTTGGGAAGTCTCTGGAAATGTGAATCACTGCTGGACTTGGTCCAAATGTCTTTTTATATCCATTATAGTAGTATAGTACGAGACCCAACATGGATAGCCTCATTATTTTTTCTTTGTTTTGATTGTATGGGCCTCATTTCCAAATCAACAAGCTCAAGAAAATGTTACATAATCATCTATAAAATTACAATTTGATGGCAAAATGTGTGTAAAACTGCCTAAGATAGATCTGAGGTAAGTATATCACCTGTTAACCTCCACTAGCATATCCTCTTTGAGTTTCAGCTGGTCGTCCTCATTCAAGTTTTCAAATCCAGCATGAGATTCCAACAGATAACTCTGAAAGAAATGCATCTGAGAAAACAAAACGAAATGTAATGTCATTTTTCTGGTTAATAGATTTAAGAGGAGAAAAAAGTACCAAAAAAAGACACACAAACCTGCTGTGCTTTGGTGGGGTAATTTTTGGTGTTCGTAATGAAAAATGGAAACTTGTCATAGGTATAGTCATAAGTCCACTCACAGAAGAAATTTCCAAAGTCAAATCCTCTGTGGGAGAAAGAAAGGAGATCAGCACCCCATCAACAACATTTGTTAATGCGATAATAATGCATAATGAGTCTTGATCGATTAGAAATCATTGGTAATTGTGGAGGAGGTTTTGTTTGGGATTCATGAGAATATTATAACATTTGGAAGCTGTTCAGATCAGCTTCAATAAATAATGAATAAATCCGTTCTGATGGGCTTCAAATAATGTGTAGGGCTGATCAGCACTTTTATATATAATAAATTTATTACCGACTACAAATGCCAAACATTGGTATGCTGATCCAACAACTTTGCCCAAAATAATATTTAAAATTCCATTTTTAAAATTCCTGGTCTAAAATATTGTGAACTGAAGTGCAAGTGCAGCATTAACTGAAATTGTCCTATTGCTGTTTGGGAAGATTATAAATTTCTAGTCTGTCATGAAACTCTAGAAACTCTACTCTAGATAGCAATGCAGTCATGTATTACATGGCACAAGCTGATTGGCTGATTCTGCAGCCAATCAGATTGCTTGCTCAACATTCGCTGTAAGCTGGTCCTGCAGTGTGCAATTGGAGTTCGTCTTATACCCTCGACCTCCCCTAGCTCCACCTGTCTAAATCTGCTACAGGATTTATGTATGCCTAATAATGCAACAGCAACATAACTTACAGGCTCACAACAGTGTATCTGTATATCTATTGGCAGTAGCAAATCCATACTTGCTCTGCAGCAGTAGAGTGTGTAGCAGATCTAGTCCACTAAGACCAAAGTATACTAACATTGTCATATCTATTAACATGCTAAAACAACTTCCAAGAGTTGCCATGATTGAAATTATATTGTGAGCCAGGTAAATACTTTCAAATGTGTAGTGTCATGCAGGGAATTCTGGGAATATCAGTTTACAGTTTTTGACTGTAAATTATACATTGATTTGTTATTTTTATTTCTAAAAACTTTTTTTACTGTAAAATTACATGAAATGTCTGGTTAGATATTTTACCGTTTTTCCCTGTATATAGTACGGGAACTTACTGTTAACCTATTAACATTTTTTTTTTCCGTAGCGTTTTTACAAAATTTTACAGTTAAAATTACACTTCTTTTTTACAGTGTAGGTTTCTACCAGTTTTGAGCCAAACCACAAAAAAAAAAAAGAGAAAACATGACTCTTACTTTACGCAAACTGAAAGAAGAGGCTCACAGCTGCTGGGGAAACTGAACAAAGCACACATCTCTGTGGCTGGGAAACCCGGCTTCATTTCCTACCGCTTTGCTGGACAAGCACTGTCAATGGACCTAAACACAGGTCACTTACGCCCTGGGAGACTACACTGGATGGCAGGATAGAAAACAAACAAAGCATGCCTTGACCCTTGTCGCCCATCGCTGGATCAGTGATCTTGCAAATACAGGACCCCCTTCTAAAAAAACCAGGCTCCAAAAAGAACGTGCTACAGTTTGGAGCTTATTTGCCCAAGGATCCTCTGTGAGACCTGTGTTTGAGCACGTGCAAGAATGCGAGTACCCTAGCAACAGTGTGGGATCAATGCCAGAGCCTTCAAAGTCTAGAGGTCCTTTCTTAGAAATGGGGCACCCAAACTTAAGTGTTCCAAACTTACCAGAAACAACTACGTGGTCTTGAATAACAAAGAGAAACAGACAGTTCTTTAATTCAGCTCCAAAGATGTGGGAGGTAAAAGATCAAAACTTAATTCCCATCAAACATCTGGTTGTTAACAAAACCTTTCTTGGAATTTAGCTGCATATGCTTTTTCTGAATCGTGTGGAATGAACGTGACTATGAATATTACGGACCTGTAGCTGTAGCTGCTGTACTCAAAGTCAATCAACATGAGCCTCTGTCTGTCTGTGTTCTCACGGCCACTCAGGAGCAAGATGTTTCCTGTTTAAAACAAGGCAGCACTTTTAAAACATTTGATTAAACAATGGTGGACCTTTGTTAGAAACAATAATGAAATACAGACAGTCATAGTAAACCCATGTCTAACCTTCTTGCAAGTCATTGTGGCAGAAAACAACAGGAGAGGGAGTAGATTCAAGTAGACACCTGTGTACACAAACAGCCATTTAAGTAAACATACAAAAGACGTCAATAATGAACAGTCACCAAACACCTTTTATATTTGTCAATACATTATCTTGCTATCAGTCACTCTCGAATCTCGTAAAGTGTGAACAGTTTCCAGGGGTTCTGATAAAGCAGGTCAATGAAACCATGCTGGAAATGCACGACAAGAAGATAATTCCCCTAAAACAGAAGTGAAATCACAGCAAGATAATAAAGATCTTACTTTAGACTGTCCATCTCTTGAGGCAAGTTGTAGCTCAAAAGGCGGGAGAAATTTCGTAGATGGTGTTCCCTGGTGAAGGTGAGCTGAAGCACTTGATCCATGTACCTGTGCAGTAGATACAGGCAAATACAGACAGTAAGTCTTCTATTTTTTGCAATTAAGAAAGCTAAAGGGAGAATTCATATAGTAGTATGAGATGATAAATGTTGGTAATCTATATTTAGGTCCCAGTGGAGATACTAAAGACTATGGCAGGGGTGTCAAACTCAATTCACGGAGGGCCGGAGCCCTGCAGATTTTTGTTCCAACACACATACCATGTAGATTTCAAATAAGCCTGAAGGACTTGATTAGTTGGATCAGGTGTGTTTAATTAGGGTTGAATCTAAACTCTGCAGGGCTCCGGCCCTCCAGGAATTGAGTTTGACACCCCTGGACTATGGGGTTTTCCAGAAGACATGAAACAGAAAACAGTACAACTTTTTCTTCCAGGGAACTGGGTTTACATAAATCGTGTTTTTATTTTTATACTGGTGACATGTAGACTGAATTTCACCAGAAAAGCTCAATCCTGTCAACATCTTGACAGTAAGGATGCAGTTCCCCACCCACAATGAACCTTTCTAAGAATTTAAACAAACTAGACAGCCTTTACTTAACCCTCATATTGTGTTCTAGCCATTTTTTATTTTTCCTGAAAATGCTACTTAATGTTATCGCATAGGACTAAAACCTACTGACTTTGCTCCCACAGGGTATAACGGCTTCCCAAAAATAATTTGATAATTTTTGTACGTTTTTGGAACTTTTTCCCCACCTTGTTACACTTGTCGTGGTCAAAAATGACCAGTCTACAAAAAATTCACTCAAAAACAGGTTCATAAGCTCATATCAATGAGTCCTAAAATCAATAAGTTACAAAAAAGAAATTCAAACCTGTGCTAACTGAAAGAAAATTAGTTAATAATAAAAAAAGACTGAATCCATGAATTAGTGATTATATAGCATAACAATTTACAAGCAATTTTTAAAAGGCCAGTCATTTTTGACCAGAACAGACAAATTAGGTAAAGGATTTTCAGCACAGGACAAGTGATAATTCGACAGATGTTTTATGATCACGCACTTTTCCATAGTGCCAAACAGCCACTTTGGCTCCTTGTTGAAGGGCATTCTCATTCCATGAAATCTGGCGATCTTTTCAGCAATCTCAGCAAATATACCAGGGACACTCAGCTCATCTGTGGACAATTTTCGACTCTGCAGAACAAACATTGAACTTTCAGTTTGTGTTTTAGAACTAAAACAGAAACAATTACATAACTAAAACACAATAAGTTGCATCACAGGTTTAAGTTTCTGTGTATTTCTGTGTACTGGAAAATGATTCAGAGCAATGGATTTTTCTTGCAATTTTCAAGAAAGGGATTCATAAGCATTAGTGTCAAAACACATGTTGTGCACTGTTTCACATCCAGATTGTCTTCTCAAACATCATAGCAGCAAACTTTAAGACTCACAGGGACAAACTGTTCCAGTCTCCCCTGTGGAAAAATGCCATAGAGTTTGGGCCCAAGCTCCCTCTCGGCCAGGATAGCAAACATAACACTCTCCAGTACCATGGCATCAGCTCCCTGCAAACACAAAAACATACGGATACAGTTTGGACTCTCAAGTTATATCAATTGCCAAGATCGGTCAACAAACTACACAGACTGCAATGAAACCCTGCTTAGTTTAGTCTGACTGTATCTTCAGTCCCTTAGGTCAAAACTGTGATGCTAAAAAGGAAAATTAATTTTGCACTGAAATCAATGCAATCTACAAGCCAGCCATTTTGTAACAGTGGTGATGGGCAGAAGCAAATTCAATGGCAGTGCTGGAGCAAAGTGAGTTAAATGAGAAAAAAACAAGAGAGGCAATTGTGCTGAACGAGGCAGAACTTGCCAAACATCCCAGTCATTAATTGTGGCTGCTTAACTAGCAATGACATTAAGCCTGTTTTTGGACAAGGCTGTGCCAAGTGTTAATACACAAAACCGAAAGAGCTCCCTTCCTATGTGGGGGAAGTACTTGTGTAAGATATCTCAATTTTTCAAAACACACTATAGTTCTGCTTTTACTCGTTCCTTCCTATTAGAGATCATCTAAGAATAGGTTGCAAAGAGATTATATATTTACCAGGTATCAGTCATTGAGTGCTGTACTTTGAACTATTGCCTTAGGAATCCAAACCTGGTAGGGCAAATGTTGTGAGTATGAATGATTCAAATGTAAGGGAATTCCTTTAACTTGAACGACATTTGTCTCATGACAATGTTATGCAAACGTTTTGATCACAAACTGGCATACCAATATGGTAAAAGTAAAGGCAAACAGAAAGTCCAAAAATAAAAATGACAAACTCCTACGTTCCCTGGTGAGTATCGTGGCAACTCTTTTCAATATAATGAAAGTGAATGAGAACTGGGCAGCCAATCTCCAAAATGAAAAAATAAAAGTCATGCAATAACTCTGTGTGAGGAACAGACCAAAATGTAAGTTGCTATTCACTGAACAACTTCTTCTACAGTAGCACTTAAACGCTGCAAGAACCAGATCAGTGTGATTCATGAACTGGATCCGTTGATTCTTTGAAAAGATCAGACTCAAAACTGTAAATTTCTTGTCTTTGTTTGATATTTTCAATTAATTAATTACATTAATCAAGATTTATATTTTTGTGTTCCACTTATGAAAGGAAGCCAAGTTTGGAGAAACATAAGGGTAAACGAAATATGACTTTTAATTTAAAATGTTGTGTCAACTACCCCTTTAAGATCACAGTCTTGCTCTGTGGTAAATTACTGTAAATATCGTAATTACGAGTTTCGAGAACAGGAATGACCAATCAATGTCATATTTACAAGTGGTAAACTCTAGAAGTTATTTGAAACGTGGTGGAAACACTAATCTATAATACAGACAATGTATGTATAATCTACGTATAATCTATATATAGCGATCAGGGAGTGGAAAACAAGTCTGTAGCGAAAGGTGTAGCGAATCACTCAAATTTTTATGGTTTACTTCACATTTAGTTGTGATACCATGTATAAATAAGTGACATAAATTAATATTTTTCTTTATTTTATATTCAGATGTAGTTATTTTGTTTATTGTAATTGTAGTTATTATTTGGTTTAATTCTTGTTCCATTTCCAACATGAATGTGTGACATGTCATAATAATGAACACCTGACTCAGAGGAACAAGTTTCCCAGGTGCAGCTGAAGGCAGCATTAAAGGGTTAGTTCACCCAAAAATGAAAATTAGCAAACAGTAGTGAGTCAACTGGTCATGTGCAGTGCAGAATCTGCAAACATATCCTTGCACATGACAGCAAAAAACGTATGCAATAGGCTAAAGCGTGCCTCAAAGCCCCAGCAAAAGTAATTACCATGAATGTGTCGGGGGGAAACAGTAAGGAGATATTTGAATTATTTATTAATAAATTAGTGTTTTCTGAGTCCATGTCGCAAAGATGAAGATGACGATCCTGACTCGCCATCTCCTCATTGGACGCGCCTTTAGAGAGAAATGCATAGGCCTATTTAGGGATTTTATAAAATACGTAAAGAGGGTTTTTGTTTTTGATTTGAATTATTTCGTTTTAAAGTAGTAATTTAAAGCTTTCTATAGATATATTTAGCAAGTCTGTGAGGCAAGTATTCGCTGAGTTTCGGTTCATCATTGTGAAGCGCTCCTGGCCGAAATTTCTGAAAGCGCATCCTGTAGATCTATGTATCCTTTATTTTATAAAAGCACAACGTTTTGTTGATATTGTGAGTGCACACAAATAAAAGTAGACCCTTTACAGTTCCGAGTGATGTATTACTCTTACCTTTATGAGCAAAAATTACGACATATTTTACGTTGTTTCCAATGCAAGTGATCGCGCCGGCGCCTCTATGTCCTGTAAAGCGCGCTTTAGCTCTCCGCACAAACGATTAGATATGTGTCTAATAGCGCACATTTATATAGGTTAAACATTTAAACTAACATTGTGATATGCTTGAACTGTTTTATATGTATAGATTTTATTTTAGGCAAGTCGTGATAATTTGAGAAGGCTAAATTGATCAAACATATAGGCTATCAGCTCACTGTCTGCCGCTGGCAAATTAGTCGTTACTTTAAAAAACAAAAACGTCCATTTAACGAACAAAAAAAATATTTTTTTCTTACACAGCATCCCCCGGAGCTGTGTGAGACACTTTTTTTTATGGATGGGCGGTTTTTATTTAACTTCTTTTGGACTGATGCATGCAACACCCGCTGAGTGGCATTAAACAGCTTGAAAGATCAAAGACAATTTTTAATATAACTCGTTTTAATATAACTCAGATTCATATGAAAGAAGAAAGTCATATACACCTAGGATGACTTGATGGTGAGTAATTTGTGGGCTAATTTTCATTTTTGGGTGAACTAACCCTTTAAGCACGGATTACACAGGTGTTCCTGTATTTAGTGTCATATTTAAACAACAGAAAATCTTTTGCTAAGTACTAATAATCAAAGTCGAATAATGCATTGGTCTTGAGTCTTTTATCTCACTACAGCTCAATTTAATGAGGTCAGGTAAAAGCACTGAGCTAATTTCATCCCAATGTTTGACATTAAGCAAGAACGGCACACAATTGCGCAACAAACCTGCCGAGGGAATATCAGCTGACCTGCAGGGTAAAAAAACATCCGTTTCTCTCAGAAATTAAACAAGACACTATGGCCTTCCCATTGGAGGATAATTCTTACGGAAAAACCTGGAAGGAAATTAAACTTCCTCAAAACATACTACACAAACACCATCAATGGCTTGCATTGGAAGTAGAAACGTATCAGGAGAATCAGAGTTTTCTCATTCTTTATTCAAAATATGTAACATAGTATGTCACAACGACTCATGCTCTTCATTCAAATTTGTTCTGAAATGTCTGGCACTTTAAGTTTGGTCTGCTGCCCAGTGAGTCATATGATTTAAAAGACAGCACTCTTCTACGAAAATAACACATATGCCTACAGAAACTGGTTTCAGACAGGTTTCCTAAAAACAATTTAATGTGCTTCAAGACAATTCAACTTTGGGCCTAAGGGCCACTGTTCTGCAGAACATAGTGCCAACCCTAATCAAACACACCTGATTAATGAAGGTCTTTAGGATTACATGACAATTACAAGCAGGCGTGTCTGAATACACCTGTGGTAGTGTCTAATGACTTATAAACGGGTGCCCAATCCTGTTCCTGGAGATCTAACTTTCTGCAAAGTTCAGCTCCGACCCTAGTTGCACGCACCTATACCAACAATATTTAAAGTCTTCAGGAACACTTGATAATTAGAGAAAGGTGTGTTTGATCAAGGTCAGCACTGAACTCTGTAGGAAGATATATCTCCAGGAACAGGACTGGGCACCTTTGACCTAGAACAAATTCAAAAGAGCTTCAAACGTAACCAAATATTTAAATGACTACATGGCTTATTTCTTGGTAAAAGGGGGAAATTATTGAATCTATTTCATTTTCAATCACTCCATTAGATGCCACTTTTATTCATTTCACCAAACAGCTAAACAGTGCACATAGGATACATCCATGCTGCTGCCTTCAGCAATCGGTTAGATTAGAATCATGCCTTCCTACCTCCACATACTGCCTGCAAAGCCAGCATTTTTCAGGTTTCAAACACAGTCTCTCTCTCTCCCTCCCTACCCTGTTATCTGACTAAGCAATGGCCATGTGACTACAGAGCAGCAGCTGCTTGGGTTTTTCCAGTGCCTGTTAATACACAAGGCATAATCACAGGATTACTGAAGCAGATCAGTTCACAGCAGCACAAGGGTAGTATCTACATGCAGGTGTTATCAATGTCCAGTTAGGAGGGGAAATCCATCTCAACAGTACCACTACTGACAGCCCTGTGTGGATGCACCTAAGATAAATGCACATAAAACTACACATGCAAAAGAGATAGAAGCAAAATTTGCAATAGGCCAGACAGCTGATACTGAACCGAGACAGTGAAGTTAATGCTGGGAAAAGCTTCTAATAGGATGCACTGCTATGTGACTCTCAGGCAAATAATGCAACTCGGAAAAAAGTCAGGAAATGCGTTCCAGTGCTGTTATCAGTTCTGGGCCATCTCTCTTTATAGCTATGAATATGAACCTTTACACAATCAATATAATTAATTATAATATAATAATAACTATATAATTATAATGAAAAACGTTTTATCTCATTTTGAGTAAAAATATTTAAATATTGTTAAAACAAGACAATATTACTGGAGAAACAAAGTTGCATAATATAGAATTGGTTTCAGAGGATAATGATAATTTTTATCATTTTTATATATAATTTTTATAAACTTTATAACTTTTAAATCGTTAAATTGAATTTGCATTTCTTTTAAAAAATCTTATTTTTCTTACCCCATTGGAAAATATTTTTAAGTTTTAAGCATTAATATAAAAAATCTACCCGGTCTCATGGCAAAAACGTACCTGGGGGCACTTTTTCGCGAGACGCAAAATACGTACCAATAAGTACATATCACTGCAGTTTCCAAAAGAAATTAACACTAGAGGCAGTAAAACTCCGACACCTTTTAAATTATTTTCACACAAAGTATGATTTACAGAGTTTCGATTAATAAAGCGTAATTTTCACACCATTACTTGAAGAGTATTATGTTGTGACTTCAAAACATTTTTAATATGCTGGGAGAGTTGAAAACTGATGCATTTGAATGTTAGCACCGCACATATCCAGCTTCATATTAATTGGTTTTCATAGACGATAGGTTTGTTCGGTAGCTCACGGAGTACGGAGACGTACTTAAGTTGGGGTAAAAAAAATAAACTCGATTGAAAATGTATTTACTGAACACAAGTCCTATTACCTTATACAATTTTGCATGTGAACATGCTGTTTCAAGAATTCTTTTATATTTTTACTAAAAAACAAGACAAAAATGATTAACAAAATTATTTTGTGATGCATTAAAAAGAGGGGTCCCAAGTGATCCATTTTTTCACCAAAGACAATATACTAAAATACGAGAATGTAGCAATAATAAACCTGAGAGCTCATGGAAAAATTTGACCTAAAAGTTTGAAATCACAACCGAGACGGGTCCAAACAAAACATTTCTGATGACCCAAATAGCTTGTCCCTTGGCCTTTGAGGATGATGGGATGGGAGGTAATCACACAATATCAGCAGTTTAACTATAATGCTTTTAGGAATTTGTACTCTTATTGGCCTTATATTTGCTTTAAAAATATGTCAGATGATGTGGAATAAAACCTTTTATAGAGACACAAGTCTATAAAGTCACATTCTGCTTACATAAAAACAATAGGAAAACAGAACTTTGCTAATGTTACTTACTTGAAAGTCATTTTCTGTGTTTGATTGTCTGGAATCCCCTTTATTACAGGACATCTAGCAATAAGAGAAAAAGCAAAAAACTATCCATAAGAACAAAGTGTTGTTTATGTGACAGATCAATTTAACCATCTTCATAAAGCAGCAACATTAAAAGACAGAGCTATTTTCCTGATCAGCGACAGTCACCCACTATGAACTATTGAGACCGTGTCTTTGGCAGCACAGTAAGAATGTGCATTAAACAAATGCATTAACTGTGTGATTCAAAAAAAAAGAAAAAAAAAAGAATAGAGCGTTAGAAATGTATGGCCTGTTGAGCAAAGGCTTGACTCTACAGGATGCTGACCCAAAATGTTCTTTCATGACCACAGGTGGGAGGAAAAATAAAAATCTAACTCTTTTATAACAGCAATTATCAAAAACATGTTCCATTGAGACCAAGCACAAATATTTAGTACACAACGCTATTCTCCATTACAAGTAAAATATATAAAGGGTTTGGTGTCCATGGTAATAAACACTATGTAAATCTCACAAGAGCAATGTGAATGCTAGTGACAGCAATAAAGTGTGTCTAGTTAAATAAAGGTCAACACAAGTTACTATTGGTGCACAGTTTTAAAGTTAACTCATATAAAATGCCTTAATGAACTCTAAGATTTATTTGTGAATCACTATGTAGCAAAGTCCACACACTCTGGAATTTGTCATTTGACTTCAACCAATGCTTTTCCACGTTTAAACACCTGACTTCAGAGGATTGGACTGTGGACCTACTGACACCTCATCAGGTATGACATCATAAGCTTCGTGACAGCTGTTTATTGAAAACATCCAGAGATTAAAAGCAACTCATCATTACAAAAATCAAACACCAAAGCCCAAAGGGAACATTCAGTCACTTCTTAATAATGGGTTCATTCACATGCATTTATAGCTTACTTATTTTTAGGAAAATATTGATCTATCTGTCATATAATATAGCTAATAATTTTTTATATGTTACATTTTACTTGAAATATATTAATAAACAAATATGAAAAAAAAAAAGAAAAGATTTTAATTTGCTAGAAATTATGTCATTACATGAACAATAATCATAAGGCACACCCTTTATAAGTAATGCTGCTATTATCATAATGCTACTGATATGGCATAATAAATGAAATATTAAAGGTAACACTAGGGAATATTATTCACTGCATATTACGATCATATTGGCTGTTTATTAATACTTATAAAACACATATTAATGCATGACCATATTCTAGATCCCTTAATCCTACCCTATACCTAAACATAACTACTACAACAACTACCTTACTATCAATAAACATCAAATTAGGAGTTCACTGAGGGAAAACTCTCAGGTAATAGTGAATATGTGTTCCCTAATCTAAAGCGTTACTCTATTAAAAAAGTGGAATGCCACCAAAATCTCTTATGATTCACTGCCGCAACTCCTTTGGTAATGTAAACTGCATCTAAATATTTTTCAAAGGAGTAATAAAGAGTTGAAAAAAAGCAGACAGAGGCAGAAAATACTTTAGACAGAGCACATTGTGAGCATAGTTCTCAAAGATTTTAAAGACTGAGATGCGCATAAACTTGAAGACAATGCTGTGGCTTCAGGGATCGCATACTGTACCGTGAGTGCTATGTTGGGATCACCTGGAAACAAGAGTGCTCAAGGCACGCTCCTTTGGCAAGCCTACGGCAAAGAAGACACGCAAGTACAGCGATGGAGGTACATCACCCAATAAAAACTGCCTCTTTAAATTTAGAGGGAACACACACAAATACAAAATCTCTGTTTGAGGCAGTTTATTCAATACCCATTCTGCCTAATGAAATTAGGTATGAATATCTCACAAGTCACTAATTCTGTAAAACCATGATTACAAGTTATTTTTGGCTAGTTTAACGCACAAATTAATAAACTGCTTAATTGTTTTAATGGTTTAAACTGAAATTACTGCCATCCAAACTATCCCAGATACACAATACCTAGTTTCAGACTAAATGGCAAGGTTTAACATTTGGCAATAATGTCCTGTATGTATGTATGTATGTATGCATGTATGTATACTTCCCAGCTTACTACAGGAAAATAACACAAAAACCTGACCTATACATCTTAAAAGTTAACATATATTTGGTAAAATTTGGGGTTGAAATGGTTAAGGCATAGGTTACTTAGCATTAAGGTGATATTTTTTAAAATACTAAAATTACAAATCAAGAATGCTAATACATAGGCCTACTACTTTGCATATTATTAGACCTGACTATGCAATATGGCACTTAATTCATACTTTAACATTTCACCAAGTAAAAAAACTAACAACACACCTGCAGAATTTGTCCATACAGGCGAAGGAGCACGTTTCGTGGTTCATCTCCAATGCTTGGTTGCTTCTCTGGCAAAGCGCAAAGGAACAGTTTGTTGCTGAGGCCTCCCCTAGAAGCAAAATATATATGTTAGAAAAGAAAATAACTGCATTCTTACAATGAATCAGGATACATCATTATTTACATCCAGACAATACCACTAAGAATAATGCTCCCAACAGGAAGCATTTTGAGATTCATTTCTGCACCGAAACTGATACCTAAAAATTCCAAAAGGGTCTGGCTGCAGCTAGCGCTTGCACTCTCAGACTTGCATTCTCAGACTTGCACTCTCAGACACTTGCACTTCCGCTAGCGACGTCACTTGCAGTCTTTATTATTTTTTATTTTGTTCTATTTATTGATTACTTTTTGTTTGAATCTCTCAACATTTTACAACAGTAGCCAGGTGGTGAAGACAAGAAAAAAGAAACTAAATTACGAAGTCACTTGCAATCGCCACTTGCACTCTCCGATACCTGCGACGTCACTTGCAATCGACACAAATCGTGCATGTTGCCAATGGAGACAAGACGCTGTGGTGGTGATTTAATGATTATTTATTTTATTTATTTATTTAGTCATTTATTAGAGGCTTTTATCCAAAGCCACTTACAAATGAGGACAACAGAAGCAATCAATTGTAGTATTAAAACAACTAAAAACAGATCCAAAACTAAAAGCTAAAACTTTATAAATACTACCTATACACATTTTAAAAATAAATCTTTTATATCATTGTCTTTGTCCATTAAGCTACATTATGTGTTTTATTTATAATGATTTTCTGTGGGAGGAAAATGTTTAACGTGCAATTTAACGCATTGCATTCTGGGCTCATCTGCTTGCCTATACGGAGTTGATCCTTTTAAAATCACTTAATGCATTTCATAATGCACATTCATATTTGTTGGTCTGTATATACTTTGTATACCCTGTACGTTATAGTACTAAATTAGTTTTAATCGTTTAATCACCACCACAGCGTCTTGTCTCCATTGGCAACATGCACGATTTGTGTCGATTGCAAGCGACGTCGCAGGTAGCGGAGAGTGCAAGTGGCGATTGCAAGTGACTTCGTAATTTTGTTTCTTTTTTCTTGTCTTCACCACCTGGCTACTGTTGTAAAATGTTGAGAGATTCAAACAAAAAGAATAAATAAATAAATAAATAGAACAAAATAAAAAATAATAAAGACTGCAAGTGACGTCGCTAGCGGAAGTGCAAGTGTCTGAGTGCAAGCCTGAGAATGCAAATCTGAGAGTGCAAGCGCCAGCTGCAGCCAGACCCTTCTCAAAAATCCTGCACACATCTATGAAACAAAATGCTCACTACGTTGTATTCTATTTTCCATTTTCCAAAATGCTGTTTAAGGCACATAACTAGTCTTTGAGACACAGTCCCTGCATTTTAATTTATACTGTATATATATATATTACTCAGGAAGTGCCTGAAATGCGCTCTATGTAGGCAGCTCACTCGGTTTTGAGACAGCCAGTTCATGGAAAACTGAGCCACATTACTGTAGTATTGCCCAATCTGCTATTATCTCATGACCAAAGAAAGCAAAACATACAGAACAAAATAATCGTATGAAAGGAAATTCGCGCGTTTTCAGTGAGCGTGTCGCCTATTTCCGAATAATGTTACTTTTAAGGTGCCGTCTTGACACAAGTAAAAGCAGTCATGTCACAGTTATTTACATTCCTAGTCGCTTAGCAAACCAGAATACCTGATAATAGAGATTTGGAAATCATCCTCATCTATGGATTTCCAGGCTCCGTGAAGAAATTCTTTACACCACAGATACGCCTTATGCTTCGTCTGGTTGTCGGGCACATCCGGTCGAATAATGTCTTTGCAGTCATTCTCACTGTCTGGCTGGACTTCGAGGACATTCTCGTTTACCAATAAACCCAGAGACAATGTAGGCGAGGAAGACACGCCATTGATGAATTTAGTCTTCATTTTTGCTGTTGGTTACTGGTATAAACGTAAATAATCAAAATTTGCAGGCAATGAATTAGATCACAGGCTCTCTATGCAGCTTAATAACTGTCAGATATTTTAAACGCAGATTTAATGGGGCTAATTACTGACACCGTGTAACCGTACGCACGATAGTAAGGAACACTGCTTCAGACGCGTTTGTTCGTGAGCAGTATGTTGAAGTCGAGTGGGTTTGACCTCCCGTCACCCGACCACACCCATTCTGCTCTCTGATTGGACAACAGAGTCACGTCCCCTTCATTCCAAACTCGAGCTACGACACCAGTAAACAATGGCTTAAACCCGAGACGCAAAAAAGTAGATCTGTTTAACAGGATTTAGAAGGGTTTCATTTTTTATTTTTTATTTAAATTTTTTCTATTATTTTTTTATGTTATTTAGTTCTTCCTATTCCATCAATGGTCCACACTCCAGCCCAGTAGGTGGCGGGAATGCACCTATCGTTTGTTTGCCAACCGCCATAAAACTCCAAAAGAAGATGAAGAAGAGCCCTAGACGCACCGCAGACTGTACTATTTTCTGCTGTACCAGTCAAAAGATTGGCATCGTGAAACAATCGTGGCGATTTCTGTGTAAGACGGCTCAAAGACGGCCGTTTTCACGGTCTTGCGACCAAAGATACCCTACGATCATTTTCTGACTGTGTCAGAAATTCAGCATGATCATCGTACAGTGTGTTTGCTGCTACGACCCACGTTTACTGTAGTGTACAGCCGCTAAAAATGCGACATGAAATCAACGCGACACGGCGCTAAAACATAAAACTGCTTACCTCAAGCTATTATCCTTCCCTCTTTCGCCGCTTTCACTTTTTTCAGCACACATAACTGCCAAAGTGTGATTCATCATGCTCTTTTTGTTTACCACTAGCGCATGAAGTTTTATTCTTCTATAATAACGTGCGTCATAGCGTAGGAGTCATCATCGTACAGTCTGCAAGCATGTCGTACCCAAGTTTATCAGATCCGTGTCGCACAGTGTGGTTTGCATTGCTAAAATCGTGCAGTGTGTAGAAGGAAATACAGACACAGATTGCACCTGTTTAGTAGGATATGTACATTGTATAATATATCTTCTTAAAAAGGGTCGACTCATATTACTACTGTTTATTATTTTATTTATTTTTACTAGGCCTATATGGGCTTATTGCAAAAATAATTAATTATTTGGTTTAATAAAAAAAATAATTTACTCAAAGTGGTTAATGTCAAGTTTGTTGCCTGTTTTATTAGTGCAGAAGAGGATTCCTTCCCTAAATTCTTTTTTTAGGTTTAGGACGAGGGGGTGAGGCGGCTGGTGGTTTGCAATGCGGTTTAGACGTGTCGTTCCACACGTTTCGGGTCTGTGCGATCATTCCTCTGGGTCTGACTACAGTTCCGGACAGTGGTCCTCTGTAGTCACATGACCCTGACGGGAACGTATTAGTCATGAACACTACGTGTGGACAACACTGTCCCACAGCCATTTGAAACGGCAGCTAAAACGGTGACTTTGAGCAATCTTGTTAACTTAATAGTGGTTACATGTTCAAAGGATTCGTGTAGCGCAAACTCCACGAATAACGCACACCAATAGTCAAAGATACTAAGAAACTAGTGAGAAATCGCCTTGCTTAGGTTGGTGCTTTGTGGTGGATAGAAGGAAAGATGCTGTCTGTGTGATTTTATTATGCAAGACCACAGAAACTATACGTGAATCAGTGAGACGAAAATGAAAAGAAAAAGTTTTCAAATATAATCTATACCTCACCAACATAAGGGAAAAGCATTTTATAAATTAGGAAGAAATAGAATTGCTTGATTTCATTAATCAGCATAAAAACGTTTCAACATTTCAATTAAGTTATATCTTAAGGAATTAAAATATTGTACATATACAACTAGCCATGTAATACAAGGAAAAATACACACCTGAGAAAATGGTAATGTTTCTCTCAGTCCTGTTATCAGGGGCCCCTATTCCTCTATCTATCATAAGGCTTTTCAAACTGTTCCTGGAGCCTGAATGAGGTATTAGATAAGATAATGAATACAAAATGTGAAATGTGGGTCCCCGGGACATGGATTGACAACCACTGGAATAACCTATGCATTGGGCCTGGGGGAGAGAGAACCACCAATTAAAAACTTGTTCCAGGCTACAGGAATTAAGCGATGACCTAAATGATGCTCAAACTTTAAATGAGATTTAATATGATCAGTGGTTGGTCACACTTTATTGCACTATGGGGGCCAAGCACCAGCAAACCCGAAAACTACTGAAAATAATTTCAGCAATACTGAAAATAATTAACCGCAACTGCCCATATTTCTGTGATTTTATGTGAGAAAAAAAGCCCAAATTCTACACATTCCCCACCCTTTGCATGTTTGTTTTATTGTAATTCTGTTTCTTTATAATAATTTAAAAAGTTCATAATAAATGTTCCAACGGTAGAACTGACCCTAAAAAATGAAGATACCAATATAATTTTGTGGTCCTCTCGGCTCCAACAAAATTTCACCATATTTAAATCCATTCTGTAGCTGCATTTGTGCAGAAAACCTAGAAAATTATAACAATTGAGTATGGTAACCTGCAACTACACATAAGCTACAAATACATCTAATAATGACATCAGACAAGCAAATATATTGAAAATGAGTTTTATAGTTTTCAAGTACTTAAAACAGTTAAATTAAAACAAGTCCCAGAATATACAGAGTGAACAGTATGCCCCTAGATTATGTATACATCCTACATTGTTACTTTCATGATGCTCTTAAGAGTCAGTTTGTAAGCTTGAGACCATAGGAGTTTTGTGATCATTAGGATAAGAAGCTGATAACTTCTTAAAAGCCCACAGATGCAAACCTTTGACACTACAGAATGTAAAGAATATAATGAAAGAAAGGATAAAAAAAAGGTAGAAATAAAAATAGCCTAATATGGCAGCTGCCTACTTATAGGATCAACAATGGAAACACCAACAACCGCTTTGAATACCTTAGCATTTTTTTAATTTTTATAATTTTTAGCCGGAGCACAAAATGCACACAAAGCCACAAAGTCAATCAGATGTACTGAATACCACAATGAACATGATTCAGGAAAACAGATTCTTGATTGATGTTTCAGTACAATTTATCTCTTGAGGACTTTTATCTGTAGGCACGCTTCTCTATGGACTTCCAAGGTCACACAAAAAAGGTCTGACGTTCACAGAATAATAATTCAATCATCCAATATCTTAATGGACCAGCACCAGACCACCACAATGAGCACCACGGCCTTCCATGGCCAAAAAATCTGAAAACATGAATATTTTGATACAAAAGAAGTGGAGATCTGTATAAATTTGAGCTCCTCTGCACATCGTTTACTCAACGATTCCCTTTATCCAGATAAAGCTGAGGAGAGAGACACACGTGATTCTTGTGCATGGGAACACTGTTGTTGAAATATGAAGTGTCAACCTTTCGAGGTGAAACCATGCATATGTTTCCCATAAGTGAATTAACATGTTGCAAACAAAGCAGAGGGGTTTATGGAATAAAACGATCAAGCTGGACAGAATGCTAACAAACATCTGCACATTATCAGACATACGTAAACTGTACACTTTCTACAATATTTATATTCATAGTGAGGAAACAATAAAGAAGTGCCATCACTAAAAGGTAAAGAAAGATATCTTGCCATGATTTAATTGTACATTTGCATTTTCTATTTAAATTACATATGTTCAAAATGAACATGATTGAAACAATGGGTATTTACACAGCTTATGCATTGAGTCTGAGGGACTGATCTTCTCGTCGTCTGGAGGAAATGTCAATGTCTATGGAATCTTTGCCCACGATGAGACGCAGGCGTTTTGCTGGTGGGAGTGGGATGAAATCATCCTCGTTATCAAAGTAGTCCTCTTCTTCATCCTCAGAGGACAGCGATACCACTTCCATGTTCTGACCTACCTGAGGTCCTGCCTTGTGATCCAGAACATCCCCCGCTTCACGCTTCATGATGCCTAAGGTGACGTCCTCCTGGTAAGGGCGATGCAAACCCGTGCTGTCTTCCTCCCGCTTCAGCTGGATCTTGAGTTTGGTGGAGCTGCTGTGGGAGCCGTGGCTGAAGCCGTTGTTCAGTTTGGCCACGTATGAGCCGCTTCGGTCCTTCTCGTGCTCTTTGCTGAACTTGATGCTGATTTTGGAGGAACTGGAGGAGTTGGCCTCTCTTGCCTCGTTCTTACTGCTGCTGCTGTCTCGACGCCGGCGTAGTGTTATCTTGGGGATGCCTGAGTTGTTCTGTAGAATTAGCTGAGCGTCATAGCGTGTGATCTGTCGCTTCTTCTTGCCCTTGCCTCGGCGCAGGGCCTTGCTGCTTTTAGCCGAGCCGTTGTAGTGCTGGTGGCGGTCCGGCAGGCCGAGTACTACCTTCCCACAGTCTGCTACATCTGCAGCCCGAACCGCGTGCCGCAGGTCAGGCACTCCCTCCTGGAGGAAAGACTCGCCATAGGAGCCGGAGTCTTCCTGTTTTATTGTCCTCCTGCGTCTAGGACACGTCCCTTTCTTAGGACAGCTGGTCTCCAAACTAGGGGTGTTCATCTGGTGCCCTGGTGTCACAGGGATGAGCTCTCCAGGCTCCGACTTGAGGACTACACCTGGGCTAGACGGCTGACTTGATGCCTGTGTGCCGTCAGCCCCATGAGCACCGAGAGAGGTCCTCGTGGACCTACGAGTTCTGTAAGGGCAAAGTATGCTGTCCCTGCATGGGGAAGCACCCTTTGAAGAGCTCTGATTGTTTTCTGATGGGTGCGCTACACTACCTTTGCCTCCAGAGCCACGTCTGTCTGTGTCTCGTCTGGAGGGCTCCATGAGATTCCCACTAGCACTCACTCGGCTAGAAGATTTCGTCCATACGCCTCGACACCGTCGTCTTCCTTCAGGCAAAGGCTGTGTGGGCTTTGACTCAAGTCTCTTTGGTAAACTTGAAATATTCACTTGACTTCGTTTAGAGGATGAGGTAGAAGAAGGAGTGCTTGACAGAGTTTGCCTTGTTACAGCTTTAGCTTCTCCGTGCTTTTTGACACAGGACTGTGAAGTCCTCTTACGTAATGCTGGAAAAAAATTGAAAGGAAGAGAAATGATGAGCTTGAGCTGTAACAGCATTATTAGTATCGAAGGTCTAGTATTACAGGTCTCTCACATGTTTGTACAGTGGTTGGTTCCTGAGAGTCTGCCTCTGCATTGGAGCTGACAGACTGGCTGTCAGAGTTCCTGCAACTTTCTCCCAGCTTCTTCAGTCTGTTCAGACGCTTGTCTGTCTCTCTGAGGCCATACTTGCTATTGATCACCGGAGTCTCCACAGGCAACCCTGCTTTCGACTTAAAAGCTCCAGTTCCGCGTCTGACAAAAAAAAAAATTAAACATTACATTTCGTAAACAGACATTTGGAGCAAATATGTATAAACAAAAAAAACTATAAAATAAAGTTTAATTTTAGCATTAAAACCTGAATGATCAATTTTAATATTTTTTTTTATTAAATATTACATTTACAATTTATATTTGAAGCAAATAAATTAATATTAAATGTAATATGAATTTATAATTGAATATTAAGTATTATACATTTTAATATAAAGAGTACTTTTATGTTTAAATATTACATTTATTACATACAATATTAGTAAATATAATTCCATAAAAATATTATATTCAACTACTAACATTTAAATATTTATAGAGAATATGCATAAACAAATAGTGATATGTAACATAAATTTTATACTTAAATATTGTTAGTATTTAAATATTAAATGTAATATGTATAAATTAAAAATTATATTAATTTGAATTCAAATAAATAAACATTTTAATGTAATATTTAAATATTCAGGACAAATGAATGTTTAAACTACTAGAGCATTCTTTCAGTAGAACTGCACGAAGTAGCCGTTTATAAATGACCTTCCAATACAAAATGTAGTTATATTCATTCATTCCTAACTGCTAAATAGAAAGAAGCATGAGAAACTATAGGCATGCAGCACATGATACCTTTCACAAGTATAGCATTCACAGAATTCATTATTTTCTCCAAAGAATCCATCTCCATAGTAACAAGAGATCTCTTCCCCCGGTTCAATGTCCCGCAAAACCTTCACACAGGCGGTATCTCGGCCTGTTGAGACAAACTGCAACAAACAGCACACATTAGTAAAATGTAATTTCCGGTTTCTCAGTTCATCTTCATCTTACAGAAAGCAGAGTCTAGCCTCATTTGCACTTACCTTGCAATTTGGCCGGCAATCTGTAAAAGCAATAAACACCTTAAATTTACTACAAAAAGATACCTCAGTATAATTTCATAATTTACTGATCAGGTCTGACTGTTTAAAATCTAAAAGAGAAATACCGTGGTTAATAAAAGCTGCAGGTCCAAGCCAGAGTTGCGCGCAGTTTTTGCGTGTAGAGTACATGACACTGAAATCATTCTCTCCATGTCGAAGCAACATCCTCTCTTCACTGGGAGACAACTCAGCAATGCAGCCCACAAGATGTTCGATTTTATCATTCCTCTTCCTGTAATGTGCACAGTAAATAAGTATATGATGAAAACTAGAAGCAAATTAAGTTGATTTGATTACGTAAAAACGTTAACTCACCAATCTTTTGTTGCTACAATTTTGGCTCCGTTTTGCTCAGAGGAGTAGCGATTGCAAGGAAGGATCTCAAAGCCGCTGTCTGAAGCAAACATGCGTAGGTAAACAAACACCTACCAGGACACCAGAAGAAAAAAATATAGTATGTAAATATTACATTGCATAAATAAGCAAATGTGTTTACACAAACAGTAAAATATTAAGTATTAATATTAAAGCACATTTAATATTAATATTGTAGCAAATAAACATTCATATTAAACGTATATTTAAATAATAAGCAAGTTTTTAATGTTTAAATATCACATGTATAAACCATTTCAATTAATTTTTTATTATAAAAAATATTAAATAAACATTTAAATATTAATATTTATGTATTTGGAGCAAATATGTATATGTGACCAGTGCTGGCAAAATGAGTCACAATAAGACATTTTTCAAAAATTAGTTATTTTCACATTCTCCATTAAAAGACCTTCAGAATGATGTATGATTTGACGAAAAATGACTGAGCTACACCTGTTTGAAGTCGATAAGAGTCAGCAAAGTCAATTTTGAGAAAAATCGAGTTACAGTTTACTGAAGGTTCCAAAGCAAAATCACCTGCAACGTTGCATCTTTTCCTCCACTTCTTTTCTTAATAATAATTACTATATTAAGTCACAATATAGCTATTTTTATTTTATTTTATCTTATCTTTATTATAAATAAGAACAGAAAAAAAAAAACAGTAGAACAAATATAAAAAAAACCTTACCTTTTTCATTTTACAACTAAACAAGAGCATTCAAGAAAAACAAATAATCAAATGTAAAAATCCCTTTAGTGTGTTCATTACAAATAAACTGATTATTAAAACTACAAAAGCAGTTCAATCAAGAGCAGCGAGTCTTTTCTTTTATTGTTAGATTAACATTACTGAGACAGACGGATCTAATAGAATGTTACACATCAAATGTTTTTCCCCAACAGTTCCCCAAACGTTCACTTAAGACATAACAGATTATGTTTGCGTGAATACTTAAATACTGTAATTCTGTGTATGTGTGTATATTTATCGGGATCGCGCACAGTCGGAAGCACCTTTATGCATGCGCTTCGGATGACAGTCAGCGTGAGAAGCGAGCAGAGAAAAGGTACTCCTCTCAGAAAACGTACAAATAAAGGTAATTAAACATCTAAAATTATTATTTGGAGCATTGGGATCACTAGACGAGGGCTTAATTAACTCATTTTTGTGAAAACCTTAAAATCAACATTTTCACTTTTTGCCTGTAGCTCAAAATTAGCCCGTGCGCATTCCGACTCATTTTGCCAGCACGGGTCACATATACAAATAGTAAAATTTTAAATAGTAATTTCATCATTAAATAAGCAATATTAATATTTAAATATAAAATATGATATTTAATATTAATATTTTAATATCTGAAGCCAACAAACAAATATTACTATTACATTTTAATATTCATTATATAAATAAATATTAAACAAGCTTTTAAAATTTTTAATATTTAATTTAATATGTAATGCTAAGCATTTCATATTTAACAATTAAAATTGTTTACACATTAATATAGACATGCCAGGACATGAGAGAAAAAAATGTGGGGAGATCTTTCAATATGTATGATTTACATGCGCTTTGAAGAGCTTTTCCTGGGACTTGGTCTTGTTGAGAAAGTGATGTCTCGTCCAGTCGCCAGCAGTCAAAGCCTGAAAAGCTTTTTCCAGGTTGTCATGCTTCTTAAAAAGCTTGATCACTTCTCTCAGCTCCCCTTGCCGACCTTTAATTGGTCGAAACCTAAAAAGGAGCATCACGTTAACAAGACAAGCTTCCTGACTGCAGACACTGAGAATTTGAATTCACCAAACTAGAAACACAAACCTGGTGTTCATCTTGTGGGTCTGGAAGCCAAGGTAAGGATCCAGGATCAAACTGGTGCTCAGATCATCATATTCACACAGCTCCTTGGCAGTCATTCCAGATGAGGGGGCATGACGCCTTTCTGCCTCCGGGGGCACCCCACCACAACCTGTTAGAGGATTCAGCATGAACAACCATTGAGAACAGGACCAAGATGCTGTATTAATAGTTGAAGAGGTTGGAAAAACAAATATACTGATGGTTTTGCGAGGAACTTACGTCGACTGCATCTTCTACCACTCGGGGAGCCCTTGCTTTGACGAAGATGGGCTCCCTGTGTGTTTTGCAGCCTGGACTTGCTTACGGGCTGATTACTGGAGAACTTGCTGCCATGTCTCCTGCCATTCAGCACCATGTTCTTGGATTCTCCCATCTACTTCATACCAGCTGGCGGTCTGGAGAAGTCGCATTGAGCTTCTGTGTGCTTCTGAGAAACCATTCAACAAGGAGACAGCAGAACCCACTGGGCTGAAGCCTGATCTGTCGTCTTATCTACCAGGATACTCCAAATCAAACTTCACTTGTTTCTTCTGATGTTACTTCACCTACATAAAATATTAAATCATTATTATATTCTGCTTATCAACGTATAAATGTATTTGATCATATATATATATATATATATATATATATATATATATATTCAAATTATCTGTGTTTTATGCATGTACTCACAACTAACTTTTTAGTAGTATTGAAAATATATTGTGCCACAAGTCTGTTGTTGTGTGATTCATAACGTTTTGAGAGTGGAGTACTGAAAAGTCTCTTTCAGGCATGACCTTTTTTAACATAATCTTTACTTAAAAATATCAACACTACAGAACAATGAAGAAAAAGAGACAAAGTCAACAAATACACATTTAAATAAACAAACACAGTTTATGCATGCATAGGCCTACATCAGAACATTGATAATATCAAAAGTGAAAAGTGTTAAGGTTACACATAAAATAGACTATTTGGATCAGATTAATTAAAAAACATATTAAACAGGCTTGTGCCTACATGTGGCTTTACCGTAACGTTCATAGCACGCAAGTACAACGGGATGACGTAAAAGAACAGTTGAAACTGCGTTTTAAACGAGTTCATTGAATCGAACTGTTCGAAAGAACCGATTCTCCGAAATGATTCAGACTTCCCATCACCAGTCTGTGTGATGTATCGTTACGTTACCAGATACACGCTGTAAAATACGTTTTAGATATGTTTTAGATATCATTAATAATATCAATCAGCGTGAAATATTCGTTAAATAGATGTAGAAATGTGACAAAAAGATACCACTGCCGCTAGATGCGGAACTAATGACAGCAGAAATCGAAAAGCATTTTGAGTCTGTCCTTGGACCAGTTTTTTCAGTCTGAATCCTGTTTTAACTACCAGCAGGAGAACATCCAGAGCTGTTCCCGGATCAGCCATAAACACCAGAGGCTGCAGCACGCACACTGATGACGTCATTCGCCGAGAACAACAACAGTCTCTCTCTCACAGGGATTCTCAGCACAGTTTAGCCGCTTAGTTTGCTCTAAAGTGCTGATTAATTCTCTCTAATTAAAACGCTTTTTTTTTATTAGGAGCTCAGTCAGACCAGCACGATAGTTTGTCTTAAATCGTTCCACTGAGCGAACTTTAGAAAAAAGATGTTTCACAGCTATCGCTAAAAGATGTCAGGCCGCGGTGACAAGCTAACGACGCCCCACTAGCTGTCTGCAAGTTTGAAAAAAAATTACACGCCTTATTTCTTTCACGAGCCTCTCTGAGCAAAGTGCTACAGTGTATTTGCAAATAATATTAACTTGACATCTCAGAAATCTGCTAGTATGTTAAAGGTAAGTTATCATAGGTGTTTCCATATTGTTTACTAATTCAAGTTAAAATAGTTAAATTGCAGACTCATTTACTTAGTCGTTAAAATGTTTTATAACTAAATATGTTTTATGTATAAGATGCTTTTTGTTGCACATAATAAATGATACTTCATTTTAGTGCTGGGCGGTATGACCAAAAATTTATACCCCTTGCTTTGACGAAGATGGGCTCCCTGTGTGTTTTGCAGCCTGGACTTGCTTACGGGCTGATTACTGGAGAACTTGCTGCCATGTCTCCTGCCATTCAGCACCATGTTCTTGGATTCTCCCATCTACTTCATACCAGCTGGCGGTCTGGAGAAGGCGCATTGAGCTTCTGTGTGCTTCTGAGAAACCATTCAACAAGGAGACAGCAGAACCCACTGGGCTGAAGCCTGATCTGTCGTCTTATCTACCAGGATACTCCAAATCAAACTTCACTTGTTTCTTCTGATGTTACTTCACCTACATAAAATATTAAATCATTATTATATTCTGCTTATCAACGTATAAATGTATTTGATCAATATACGTAATTCGAACACAATTTCAACAAGCATATTAGTGGCTGAATTCATGATTAGCATGCAGAGAATTAGAAGAAAAAAAAGTGTTTCGAGACGTTGATTACTTTTCAAATATTCTTGAGTATAGAGCGTCACCCCCTGGATGCTATTGGAAATAACAAAAGCTGCCTTCAATTAAACTACAAACCTTGAATTCACAATCGAGATCGTCTTGAAAATAATGCCACATCGACCAATATTTCATAAAATTAATCTTACGCATAAATTATGTTTGATAACTTACATTGGCAGACCTATCCACAGTAGCTAAAATACTCCCATGTAAGCGACGGTGTATTTAAATCCCAACACAAACCACATTTAAGTCTATGCCCCAAATTACTGCTTTACTAAACCTAAATGCAATGGTGAGATAATACAATGACTTTAAAGTGTTACTGCAACGAGTTAGGTCGCTTAATGTGGGGCTAACAGTCTAAATTAGCAGTTAAAGTAAACATTCGATGAACGCTAACTAGGTTAGCATCGAGCTAACAAAACAATGAGACTTGCCGAACCGGCAGAGCAAAGATATCTAAAACGGAGTTCCTGACGGATATTCCAGCACGTTAATAATACA